CCCTAGTAGCGTTCTTGCTCCTAGTAGCGATGCCAGGAGCCCCTAGTGTTGCTCCCATCTGAGATTCTTTTGAAGGTCGTTCACTTCTCAAAAACTTGTCATATCCGGACGATGAGACGAACCGTCGTGTTCGCTGCGGAAAGTTGCCATACTGCATGACACGTTCTTCCACGGCACGAGAGGCTTGGGAGATCTTTCAGTGTGGAAGCCCAGGTCGAGCAGTTGGGGATAAAAGTCGGTCTGTAAGTTGCAAGCTCTCACTTTGACTGGGACTTCTTTGGGAGACAACTCAAATGGATGTGACATGTGATTGATGGAGATAAAGTGGTAAATTGGGAGTTGCTTTGTATTTTTTGTGCCAGAGATGAAGAGTACCGACATCGTGCCAAGAGGGGGTGCACTATTTATGGCCTTCTAAAAGAGCACGCAGAGAAACGAGAGTGACCAAGCTTAGCTACGGACCACACCATGCCACTCCGGGCAAACACTTGGAAGGCCTGGCGTTTCAGGAGCTGAGGAAGGAGTTGAGTCCCTCTACCTGTCGCATGATCGCTTTGCTGCAGCTACCCTCAGTCAGTTTACAGCATTGCAGCCCTTCATAGCGACACTTTGGTGGATCAAAGTTTCACATCTGAATCCGGCCAAAAGACCAACTCTCACGACCCAAAAGAAGAGCGGAGGAGAACAAGCCGTTGGAACCTTCAACAAAAAGGGATCTGGTTCTTTGTGAAAAGAAGTGATATGATTTGACCGTGTTTTTTGAAGATATCCGTCAGTAATAATTCGATATTGTCTACTAGTTGTTTTCTTGGTATGTTCTGTTGACCGACAGCTTAAGGACCCTCTTCTCGTTTGAAATTTGGTTTGGATCCGAAGCTTTCGGGATCTAAATTATGCCTTGTCGACTTCAGTCCCCGACTTCTATTGGAGCTTCAAAACAGAAAGTCAGGCAGCTGTCCTTAACGGAGTGCGACAAGACTTCCTTGGAGCCAGCCTTTGCGCTTGCAGTGAAGGTGGAGATGGGCATCGACTTTGGACTCCGAACTGGGAAATCAAAGGCTTTTGTCCTAGTAGCGTCCTTGCTCCGTTCGTAGCGATGCCCTTTGTTCCTAGTAGTAGCTTCCTGCTCCTAGTAGTAAGGCCAGGAGCCCCGTTCGTAGCGTCAATTTACGGGAGAGGTGTGACACTGTGTGCGTTTGACGCGTCCGCCCCTGAGAGGGTATCTACTGCGTCCTTCCCAAAGCCACGAAAAGACAGAGAGAGAAACGAGAATTTGTGACAAATGAGCAGACGAGAAGCGAGAAATGCGCCTAGTGTGACAACCACCTAGACTGTGAAGACAGCCCAAAGTAGTAATGAGTTTCGTTTCTTTTAAGCATTGCTCCACAAGGTGTTCTTGCAAGGAGTAGTGACTAGTGGTCTTGACGGGCATATTCTTGAGGCAAGCCGGGAAGTTGAGGTCCGGGAAGTTCGGTGAAATGGGTTCCAGGAAGTTCGGTGTTTGCTCTCAAGGATCAAGGATCATCAAGGGATCCATTTCAGCTTTTGAACAGTACAGCACCGAGCGGTGCAGAGCCCATTCGGTGTGGTCTTATTCGCTGCGCACGGAGCTGTGCTCTTCATTCGCCACAGGCCTTCGTCTACGACGAGCGTTGGCTCCTTCGAGCGAGGCGTGAGGGCGTGACGGGCTTGATGGGCGGTTTTTGTCTCGGGTTGGCTGGGTTTGATTGGCTCCCTCGTTCTTTTTGAAGCCCGCTCCCCTCCCTGCTCCCCTCCCCTCCCTACTTAATTAAGTAGGCACCTACTTAGTGAAGTAAGGAAGAGAGGTAGCCAGTAGCTACAAGTAAGCTACTGCCTACTGGACGGAGGATAGCTCACGCACTAATCGTTTGCTTTCTAGGGAAACTTAATCTTTAGACCAGCGATGTCACCACCGGCAATGTTTGGAGAGGTTCCGCAGGCGATGCAGACAAGAAAGATGTTGGGGCACGAGAGACTCACAGAGACTTGGAGATTCAATGCGGTGAAGAGGCCAGCGTACGCTTTAAGAAGAACATGTAGTTGAGATTGTCAGTCCAAAGGACACGTTCTTACTGTTCCTTGTTCATCATCCTGGGTACTTGAATCAGCTGACCTCGAACCATGGATTGCAGGTGTTCATAGGGGAATTCTTGCGATCTACATCTTGGCCAGTCAAAGAGCAGATGTTGGCCAGGTTCCATCTTGGCAGTCAAAAACAGGAGCAAGGACACTACTAGGGGCTCCATGCCTTACTAGGTTCCATGGTTACAGGATGTTAGCCTGTTCTCATCCTCCTGGTTGCAGGTTGGCGGGTTGCAACATGCGCCACATTCCCCTGAACTTCACAGCCATCCTCCGACGGCATGGACTTTCCGTCGAGCAGATCCGGCAGGCAGGATGGGTGATCGAAATGTAGCAGCAGATCTGTCGAAAGAAAGACTAGGAGCAATGGCCTCCAACCTACTAGCGATGCCCTTTGCTCCTAGTAGCTTCGTGTTCCTAGTAATGCCAGGAGCGCCCCGTTCATAGCGATGGCGCCTTTTGCGCTCGTAGTAGTAAGGCTGGATGAAGACCTAGAGAGAAGTGGGAAGGCAGACCTATGCACATCACCGGACCCTGCAACCAGGCCATGCATGTCTTTTTGAAGCCCGCTCCCCTCCCCTCCCTACTTAATGAAGTAGGCACCTACTTAGTGACTTAGTTAAGTAAGGGAGAGAGGTAGCCAGTAGCTACAAGTAAGCTACTGCCTACTGGACGCAGGATAGCTCACACTTCTTCAAGGAAGCCCTCCCCGCCGCCCTAAAGGCGGCGGAGGAAGCTTCCTTGAAGAAGCGCTCGCACTAATCACGAAAGCTAGCATCAGCTAGCTGGAGTTGCTCTTGCTTTAGCAAGTCAAGGGCTCGCAGCCTCGAGAATCATGAATCACGTGAAAACTTCACGTGTAGGGGGGGCCCCCCCCCCCCCGCGGGTTCAACTCCCCCCTGGGACGCTTCCGGTACGCGCTATAGTGCTATGTTTAGGTGGCAGGTGAAGTAGGCCACTGTTTGAGTTTGGAAGGGGGGGCATGAAACATGAAATTTACTTGAGGGTTCAAGGCTTCAATGATGAGCATCACGGGAAGTCAGAAACCAGGCGTATCAGATACACATGCCTTTGAGCTTCCTTCGGCATCTCAGTGCATATGGCTGACACTTCACTCGACAAAGATGCTCAAACAAACATACATAAACCAGGTGTATCTGATACGCCTGGTTTGTGACTTCCCGTGATGCTCATGATGCTGCGTTGCTTTTCTTCAGTCCCTCATTACATATACATGACGATCCAACAGCAGATTCAACAAGCTCACATGTTCATGACATCGACATCGGTAGAAGAAACCAAACAAATCATGCAAGCAGCTTTGTTTTGCCTCTGGGACACCTCTTGGGCACCTCTAATGGCATCCACACTGGTTCAACTCCTCCGTGGAGGTTTTGGGATACGGATGGATACGGTGCAGCAGATTCAACAAGCTCACAGGTTCGTGAACACATCGGATGCATCGAACAGTGTGGCAAAGTCCAGCCACGCTTCCTTAATTATCGGGGACTTCAATTCTAAGGTTGGCTGTGTCATTGCTGTTTGTGTGTCTTACATGTTCACAACGTTTTACCTCATGAGCATTTGCCTCACTCCGCTTGATGTCCCACCAGTCCGGATGCACCCCTGCTAGCTTTCGTCACCTACCCTCGGCCTCAAGTCGTTTGGCTTCTAAGCTTTTAGGGAAACGTAGAGAAGTACTTGCTTAATTAAGTAAGGGAGAAGTTCGCTCCTAGCCACTGGACGCTACATATGGACGCAGGATAGCTCACGCTCGGGCATGCTCGCACCAATCACTTGGTTCCTAGATGTTTAGGGAAACTTAACTTTAACTGCCGATGAAATACTTCAGGTGGGTGTAAAAGCTGGCCAAGCCACATTTGCCGACTGAGACCGGGAAACAGCACCCGTGTCCCAGAAGCACCCAACATCCACAGAACATCCGGACTAAGGAAGGGAGATACACTCGAAAGTCTCAACAGACGGCTCCTTGGCACGTTGAAGGTCGGGTGGCAGGTTCTTGCTCCTAGTAGTAACAGGTGCCACGCTAGTAGTAACAAGTGCCTTACTAGTAGTAACAATGTTCGCTAGTAGAAACAATAAGCTAATAGCTTCTTGCTCCTAGTAGCGATGCCAGGAGCCCCTAGTAGCGTCCCTTGTTACTAGGTTCATTGAAGTTCTTCCTTCATTTCTTCAGAGCACCAGACTTGGGAGCCCAGTTTCCCTTTCTCCATGAGCTGACTCCTAGGGACCCCATACTCGGATGCATCAGTTCCAGTGTTCGATGGATGTAAGCAGGACAGCCAAAGAAGTTATAAGGACACCTTTTTCAACGCGTTGGTGCTGTTTGCTACTAGAAGCGTCCTCTACCCCCTCCGCGCCCGCCCGCGCGCACTAAAAAGCTCCTCCTAGTAGTAAGGCCAGGAGCCCCTAGTAGCTTCTTGTTACTAGTAAACGTGCTGATGCTGTTTCCTGGCAGTCAGTCACCGTTGTGAAATCCGATCAAACACCATCAAAACCGTAGACACATATGTAAACCAGTACACTATGGCTGTTTGAATCCATAGCTCCCACAATGGCCTCCAACCTATTGGCCATGGCCTCTAACCCACTAGCGATGGCCTCCAACCTACTAGCGATGGCCTCCAACCTACTAGCGATGGCCTCCAACCTACTAGTGATGGCCTCCAACCTAGTAGCAATGGCCTCCAACCTATTAGCCACGGCCTCCAACCTACTAGCGATGGCCTCCAACCTACTGGCGATGGCCTCCCTCCTCCACCTGATATCCTACCTAAGAGCGATGATGGCCTCCTACCTAAGAGCGATGATGGC